TACAACAATTATTACAAATTACAGTCAACCAAATGCATATCGACAGCAATGAAAAGACACTTTATTAACATTGTTTTACTATAGGAACATCATTTATATTGCTTTATACACCTGGATAGAGAGAGAGAGAGAGAGATACAAGCCAAGATCTAGTGTCTTGTACAAGGACACATGCTGTGTACATTGCCTGGGTTCTTGGACAAGACACTTCGCTTGTTTGAATTCCCTAAATAATGTACAGTACTTCTTTTTGATAAGCTGATGTAATATCTTCATTTATATCATAGGCTGTAATTTCAGGACTGGCATCAGTCTGTGTAGATTTGCAGCAAAGCTTATAAACACTAAGTATGATTAGTGACAGTAGGATCGTAACACTTAACACAGGCATCTTTTTGGTTTACAGTTCAATATTCTTTTCCAAATATAAACATGGTTGATATCAGTAGAAGTTTCTGGGTGTTCTTTCATTTAACCAATTGCATTTACAACTCTCCTTTTAGGGACCAGGTCTGCCAGGGTATAATGGTTTCTGTAAATAATAAATAGACATAATTATTTCTTGATAGCCACATTATACTAATGTCCTTGTAAATTATTAGAACTCTACAGTAATTTTTGAAGAACATCCCATTAGAGTAACTGAACCACAATAATCTGGTAGTAGTAGGTCATGCATACTGTACAACATTTGGATACATATATTATTTAAAAAAAAAAAAACTATCTACAGTAACTAGGAAACAAAGAGCAACTTTTAAACTGAAAATTATTTTTTTAAATCTGTGAGATTGAGTTAAAATGTTTGGTTATTAGAATTAACATATTCGCAGAATCTTTTGATATTTAACTTACATTATCATATCCCATGCTGATGAGGTCACCATTGATGACTGGGCTCTGTCAATGAAATAAAGTAGAACAAAGCTGTAAAACAAACCATAATTTAACATTTTTTAGAATTATTACTTAATAAAATAGTACAGTAATTATAATCATCATTTTTCTTCATACAAAAACTATTTATTCCATCAAATGGTTCAGAAAAATTTACAATTTTAAATTACAGTTTGAGAATACAAAAGGGGATAATAGAGGGCCACCACTGGTATACACCAGCCTCTTGCACCCCTTTTTTAGGGTGGTGTACAGTGAGAAATTCAATCAATCATGTGCCTAGGGCTGTAGGTAGGCCCACTCTGGCGTCATGCTATTCTCTCTAGGCCCGTGTAAATTTGTTATCTGCTACGCTGTCGTTGGCCCTCTTTCTTGTTAATGTTGTTACAGTAGTGTTACCGATTAACTAGCCTACCCTAGGCTAGATACCTAGCTACTTCAGACGGCCTAGGCCCCGTAGTAGTCTGGGACCCGGTGTGCCCTACAGGCTAGTTAGGCCTAACGTAACTTTACAGTATACGATCTATCGAGGCCCCTAATTCCTATCGTTATTAATATTACACGAAATATACTTATCTTGGATTGTGATAAAATATAGGTTGAAGACTGACGACATTATGCAGCTGCTACTGTCGAAAAAAAACCCTGTTGTTCTCAGCAACTACTGCATTGAAACAGGGACGTATCCCTTTGTACACAGTGTTAACATTTTAAAGCTTATTCTTGAGCCAATACAAATTCTTTCCTGGGATCACTTAAAATGAATACTTCTAAACATGTAAATATGCATCAGTACACGTTATACATAGGCCTAATAGAACACATAAGCCTAAGCGTGATTTATAAAAAAAAAAAATCTTAAATCCATAAATCTCAGGCCAGTTATTTTAAGATAGAAATGCGATACTGTGGTTCAATTTTGTTTTTATCCTTTTGCAAGTTTCTTTAAATGTTTGTTTAATAATACTACTACTAAT